TAGTAAGACAGATTCAGATCATTTATTGGCATTTTGGATATTATCTTTATTAACATATGCTATTTATTTTTAATCTCTTAGTTCTATTTTTTTTATATTTTATTGCATCTCTTATCATCCATACATCATATTTTCCCTCTGTTTCCTTGCTACTGAGAGATTCTCTTTCCCTCTGTCTTCTAATGAATTTATGATATTCTGCCCTTTAGGGAAACCCATGACAATATTCATTAGGAAACACAAGAATAAATGAAGATTTTTCTTTTAGGCTAAGGAAGATTCCCTTGATAAGCAGACAGAATAGTGTAGAGAGAAAACTGGGGTGTATGCTGAGATCCCCCTTTCCTTAGGCAGTCACATCACCTCTGTTTAGTCTGGGCTAGTACATTTCACACTGTGACATTTGCCTGTCTTCTCCAGTTGCTTCATGTTTGTATGTTCTGTGCACCTTGACTACCAGTATTTTTTTCAAGCACTATCTTCTACTTTATGTATGCACCCTTCGCTTTGCCCTAAACAACCCTGTATGCAATGAGACCACAGCAAACGTAAGAACTTTGAATGTGGAATTTCATGTTGAAGGCACAGGGCTGACTCTCTCCTGTCATTAACCATGCCTTTTAAGTTTGAGGAAGCTGTGACAGAGAAATGTGCATCCTGCTGTCACTTTCCAACCCTTCCTGTCATCAGGGCTTTGGGTTCCCAGGCTAGGATATGACCTATTTAGAACATTTTGTTAACCCTTCCCAACAAGCCTACAGAGAAGCATGTTTTATAAAGGTAAGAGCAAATATCTAGGCCCTTTCTAATACAGATGTGGTTTCTGCCTGAGAACCCAGCAAAAGAAATCGACTAAAATTCTTTCAAAATTATTTTCGCACACTGAATAGCCCAGCAACATAAGGTGATATAAATAAGATACAACAGAAAATCCATTGAAGGGAATCTTATTATTTAAACACTTACTTGAAAGATATTAATATGTGGTGAAATCTACTCATTCATTCACCCTCCTTTGTCAGGCAGGCTGGTACCATTGCCTGGACCGCTGGGCGATTCTGTAATAAACTAAAATAAAAGGGAACTTTCTCAGAATGGGAATTTAAACTTTTTTTCACAGGTCTCAGGACAACTAACACACTGGATGGGTCCTGAATGCTGGGGAGGGAGGGAGACAGGAGCTATTTGGCAATTGTCAGTTGCCCAAAACACAAGAATTTTAGTGTTAAAGTTGCCAGTTTTAGGGTAGAGGGCTAAGTTCTTGGGATCTGGAAAATAAAATAATACATCACTAAGAATCTCTAAGCCTAATGGGGATGGGAAATAGACTTGATTTACACTTACAATGCAAAGAAGAACTTCCCCGGAAATGAGATCACCATCCATGGGGAATCCTGCCGCGGGTATTCTGGGAAGTGCCAGAACCTTAGGGGCTTGGGAAATCTGATTCCAAACTTGAATGTCTCTTCTCCATGCATGTTCTCTCTTCCTGTGGATAAGTATCATATGGATTTCCCCTGTCTTTTAAGGATTATAGGAAAAGATATCTCAAACCCAAGCAGATTAAAAAAACAAAAAAGAAACTCACCATATTAGAGCCCCTGAGGAACTTGGATCCCACCATGATTGCTAAAACAGCTTTGCCTCCTGGAAAGCAGCTAGCTAGAGAAACATTTGGGGGTGAGGGATGGGGAGCAGAGTGGCCAGGTGCTGAAGTTGACATTCCTAACTTGTGTAAAGGCCTAGGCTTTACCACTAATAGCTATGTGGTTTGGGGTAAGTTCATTTCTATGAACCGCGTTTCTTCTTCTGGAAAACCAAGATAAGGCTACTTACCTCAAAAGCTTGACTTGAAGCACAAGTAAACAATGAACGTGAAATCTCATGATGAATTAGAAGGTGACACATAAAGAGACAATCATTTCTTTGCCTTTTCCCTTAATCCTCAGTAGGAACTTCCCTTTCCTTTTCAAACCACCTCCCAGACCCCAATCCCAAACCTGGGGAATCATTCCAGGCATTCAGAAGACAGTCACTTAAATCTTTCTTGTCAAGGTGAACAAAATATTGAATAGATGAGTGGCTTCGGTCCTTTAACAAATAGTGGGTACCTATTCAGTTTCAGGTATTAATTTATGTTATTAAGTCTTGGAAAGTACCAAAGAAACAGCTGTGAACATAACAGACAGAAATCCACATCCTCTTGGAGCTTCCACGGCAGAGAGGGCAGAGACCCTGACCACATAAATCCTTAAACACAGAAGAGACTCACTGGTGGTCAGTGCTGCGAGGAAAGGAGTGCGGGGCAGGAGAGCAAGGAGAGGCTGGGTGGGGCTAGGCTCTCAAGTGATGGGTTGGGGTCTTCCTCTGAGCCTCAATCAATTCCAAAGGGTGGATTTTGGGGGGGGGGGATGAAATTCTCTTTCCAAGTTCCTCTCTAAAAAAGATGTCATTTTCCTCCCAACTCAGCCATCACTCTGGTTCCAGACACACAGCAGCCAGGCCCTGGGTCAGAAGCCAGACAACAGCTGCAAGGGACTGCAGTGACCCGCTGGGCAGACGAAATGAGACCCATGGGTGGCGCTCCAGGTCACCACCCTGGAAATTAGATCACCTTGGGAAAGATTTTTCACCTTAGCTGTGTCTAAAAAACCCTGCACTATGTTTCCTTGAATAGAATTGGACAGAGACCAGTTTCATGCGCTTCAAAGCCCTCCCCTGTTTGTATTGTATGAATGACACATTCCTGTCTGAACTCAGCGAGACTAGTAGACTTCCTAGCAACAATTCCTGAATGATTATTGCACGGAATTCAATTAATATTGGCACAGAAATAGACGTCTATATTTTATTTTTAAAAATTTCACAATTCTTTCTCCATGTCTCCCCTGCTACTCAGTCTCCGTGCTGACCATCCTTGACCAAGTTCATAGGAAGCCCCCCTTCTTCAGAAGCTGCAGGGTGGTGTTGTTGAAAGTACTCTACAGAAATAATAGTCACCACGGCTTACACTGATGTAGAGCCACCACCGGCTCTTTCTTGACTTTATAGAATCATCAGTTTTCCACCTCATGATAACGATAGTGGACTAACCTACAGAAAATGATTTAAATCACATAGATCCAGTACAAAAAAAAACCCCTTGTAAAACTGTTTGGTCGCAGATGACAAACAACTTGTATCTTGTACCCAATCCCACATGATTGGGGTTGGTTCTATGCAACGGTGGTCTGTGAGGGAGGCTCAGGTAACCAGCTAGGAAGAGAAGTGGAGAGTGATTGATTAGTGATGTCTGCTGTGGAGGACCTATAGGGAAGGGGCATGCCTCTGGGGTATTCACCATGCCAAATCTAGTTCTGGCTTCTCATTTAACAATGAGGAAGTGGATATTTCGAAAGTTAATGTACTGCATCAAGATCATACAGCCAGCAAGAAACAGCTGGATCTGGAACCGGCCCTCTGGATACTCAATTTCCACTTGAGCATTGTCTCAACACTAAGTCCTTTTTTGCTCTCTCAGTCCTAAGGTCTGGAGAGGACTGATTCAATGAGGCAAGGAGAGGTTAGAGACCTGGCTGAGCTCTGTGTAATGCCTGGCACATGGCTCAAGGTCACCAGCTGCTCCCAGCACAATTCCTGCTCCCTCTGCCCCTCCCCATGGGGCTGCATATCTCAAGATGTTTGGGACCCAGCAGGAAGAATGCAGGGTCCATGCAGAAGTCTAGGATGAGGCCCTGGGCCTGACCTCCTGTTCTAGGCCTGAAGTCACCCCTTCTTTGTGGATCACCCCGCCCTCACCACTCTTATCATCCCAGTTTGGACAGGCTCAATCTCACGACGGCATGCACAGTATTGCTTTTATTTTTCTCTCAGAGTGATATTGACATAAATTGCATTTATTTCTATTTTAAAACTTAGTCTTTCCAGAAAACTTATTTATTTTGTCGGAAAAGACATTCACATGTGGATGTTCCCAGAAGTGTTTTATCAAGAGAGTGTTTTCATTTTTAGAAAATGAAATAAAGCCTGGGTAGACTGATTTATTTACCTTTTCCTTTGGATCAGGAGCTGGTCTCATGACCTTTGTGCTGGTCACCTCCTCCCCCTGAGATGCTCTGCTCCCTCACTCCATCAGCCCAGTGCTTCCCTCAGGTGTTTCAAGTCCTCTTTTGACTCCGGGTGAGAAGAAGATTTGGTTAGTTCAATAATATTCAAGAGACTACCTGGTGTCAGGCATTGAGTGTGGCATTCAGGATCCAAAACTGAATACAGCGAGGGTCTGCTTTGGGGAAATGTAACCTGATCTTAAAAAAAGCATATACAATGAGCCAGAGAAACAATGCTAACTGCTGCAGTCCGGCTGCAGCAAAATAACTGGGGGATAATGAGCAACTTGTGTACATTGATACAGCAGGAGTGGGAGCTGTTTATTGTAGGACAGAAGGGGTATATATACATTATACACAGCTATCTTAATTAACATAAACCAGATACAGCAGTCAACCAATAAGGAATCTCCACACTTAATGGCTCGCTGGCATTACTTCACAAACCACTCCCTCTGGCAAAATGCCAGGCGCCATCCTGACTTGTTTACAGACCCTAACAGCTAAGCCTGGCACGTTATTATTAATCCATCTCACTTAATCCTCACTGTGAACCTACTCTTCCTGTGGTCATGGACTCTCCTCTCTACTCTGTCCTTAGCACCCAGAGCAGTGCCTGACACGTGGAACCTGGGAAACATTCAACTGGCTGGATACCAATTCCTTGTAACTAACCTGCAAGGCCGGCCTCACTTTCCACTTTAACCGATGACTACCTAAGGATGATGGGAGCCAAGCAACCTTTCTAGAAGTCTCATAATTCTAAGGACTTAGGTAATTTCTTCCCAAATCCTTTGCTTTTGCTCCTCTATAGCACTGTGGGTCACTGTACTTTTCTGGACTCTGTTTTCTTATCTCGAGATTCAGATGCACAGGCTGCATGATCCCATGGTCCATTCAAAGTCAAAATGTCATAACCAACACCCCAAGTTGGTAGTGAAACACATACACCCATTTTTCCTGGGAGAGTTTTTATGTTTTTTTTTTCCCAAATGTATATCTCCAGCAATCATTGTAGTATACCAGCCTTTGAGATTAATCTTTCATTTTGTAAATTTGGACTACTTCCATATCTGTGTTCTGTGCTCAAGGACATCTGAGGCAGTTTGAAAGTTCAGGACTTTCTGCTATCCTACTTCATCCTTCATCCTAGGACTAAGGGACCACATACTTCACATTACCCCAAGTTTTTTTTCTGTTTAATCTCAAGGACAGCAACAAGATTTCGGTGCTCTATGGCAGGCCTCAAATAATCTCTTATCTTAAAATACAGAAAATATCTTTAAAAATAATCATTGATTTTGAAGGAAAAATGCATAGATTTTAAAATTTTGTGGTATCATACAAAAATCAATTGTATTTCTATAAGTTGATAATGAACAATCAAAAAGTGAAGGTAAGAAACAATTCAATTTATAATAGCATCAAAAAGCATGAAATACTTAGAAATAAATTTAACAAAAGAAGTGTAGACTTGTACATTGCCAATTACAAAATATTGTTGAAGAAAAATGAAAGACCTATATACACGCAAAAAAAATCTCATGTTTACAGGCTAAATAACTTTATTTGTTAAGATGATCACATTCTAGGACTGGGGTTGTAGTTCAGTGATAAATCACCTGCCTATCATGTTTGAGGACCTGGGTTCAATCCTCATCACCACATAAGAAATAAACAACAACAATAAAATGATGTTTTTAAGAAGGATGGTCACACTCCATAAATTTTGATCTAAACATTCAACAAAATCCTTATCAATGGATTGGGGTGTAGCTCAGTGGCAGAGTGCTTGCCTAGCATGTGTGAGGCACCATGTAAAAATAAACAAATAAAATACAGGCATTCTGTCTACCTAAAACTACAAAAAAATTTTTTTAATCCTTATAAAAATCTGAACTTTTTTTTCAGAAATTAACAAAGTGACACCTAAATTCTTATGGAAATGCAAAGAACTCAGAATAGCTAATACTAAAGCCATCTTGAAAAAGAACAAGTTTAGAGGACTCACAACTGCTTCCAAATTTAAGAAGTTATTGAAAAAATACAGTAATCAAGACAGTGTGGTATTGTCCTAAGGAAAGATACATAGATCCATGGAATAGAATTAAGAGTACAGAAATAAACTTCATCTCTATGGTCAATTGATTTTTGACAAAAGCACCACAACAATCCAGTGAAGGGAAGAATGATGTTTTTAACAAATGGTGCTGGAAAAGATGATAGCCATGTGAGAAGAATGAAGATGGATCCCACCTTACACCATCTACAAAATTTAACTTGAAATGGACCAAAGATCTGGACATAAAGAGTTAACACTAAAAAACTCTTAGAAGAAAACATAGATCTTATCCTTCATGACCTTAGGTTTGGTAATGGTTTCTTAGTTATGACACTAAAAGCACAAGGAAAGGACAAGAAATAGCCAAGTTGGACTTCATCAAAAATTGAACAATTTTGTGCTTGAAAGGACTCTATGAAGAAAGTGAAATCTACTGCACAGACAATATCTGCAGATCATATTACCTGGTAAGGGTTCAGTATCCAGAACTTTTATTGTTGAGTATTTACAACTCAACAATAAAAAAGGCAAATACCCAATTTTAAAAAATGAGAAAAGGATTCAAAGAGAATTCTCCAAAGAAGATATAAAAATGTTTAATGATCACATGAAAAGATGCTCACTGTCATTAGTCACGAGGAAAATGTAAATTTAAAAAACACTAAAATGCCACTTCACACTATAGGGTGGCTATAATAAAAAAAAAAAAGAAAGAAAGACAATAGCAAGTGTTAGGATGTGGAGAACTTGGAACTTTCCTACATCATTGGCAGGAATGTGAAATGGTGCGGCTACTCTGGAAAACTAAGTGGCAGTTCCACAAAATGGTCAACATAGAGCTATAATATGTCCTGCAATTCTACTCCTAGGTCTATACTAGGAATGAAGACATAGGTCCACCCAAAAACTCTCACATGAATATTCATAATAGCTGGAAAGGGGAAAGAACCCAAACACCCACCAACTGACTAACGGATATCTGGAATATCCATATGGGATGTTATTTGGCAATAAAAAGAAATGGAGTACTGATTCATGCTACAGCATAGATGAACCTTGAAAATATGTGCCAATTAATAGAATCCAGTCAAGGAAGACCACAGAGTTTAGGACTCCATTTATAAAATGATGAAATGCTCAAAACAGGCAAACCTATAGAAACAGAAAATAGATCATCCAAAGAAGATATAAAAATGTTTAATGATCACATGAAAAGATGCTCACTGACATTAGTGTTTGCCAGCAGCTGAGGGAGCCAGGAATGAGGGGAGGCTATTAAATGGATGCCGGTTTTTGTGGAGGAGGGGGGGAGGATATTCTAGAATTAGTGATGATAGTTGTGCAACTCTTCTTGCACTTCAAAATGATAAATAATCAGATACATAAATTATATCTCCATCATGGTGTTTAAAATAAATTTTGTGTGATCAAAGAAAATTCAATGGGGAAAGGAGAGAGGCTAATTGGATACCCCCAGTGAGACTTTTGCCCCCAGAAGTTTCCCCATCTCCACGAGAGCCAGGTGAACTCCCAGAACTCTAATTCCAGGAGGATGCCCAAAGGCCAATGGTTCTTCACCTTCCCTCTGAATCAGATCCACTGGGGTATCATCCAGCCTGCTCTACATTAGGCTTTTCCTCTCCTCCCCAAGCATTTATTATTGGACACCTGCTAGGTGCTCAGCTCTGTACTGCGCATTGTAAAGTCACTTTGCATCCTTCTCTCCTCAGTGCAACAAACATTCATTTGAACATTTGCAATATGTAAGACATTTGACTGGTTTCCCTGCCTTTCTGCTTATTTATATCCCTTTGACTTTGGATTCTTCCAGAAGTAGACCTTGAGACAGAGATTCAAGTAAACCACTTTGGGAATACTTGTAGGGGAAGTAGGGAAGGGACGCAGGAAAAGAAAAGAAGCCAGGAAGTGGTGACTATGAAGTCAGCCACTAACAATCCTGAGAGGAAACTCCAAAAGATGGAAAACACAGGTCTGAAAAGCTGTTCCACAGAGGGATGAGAGCACTGTGATATTTATATACTATTTCCTGAGTCCTGGTGGAACACCAGAGCTGTGGATGTGCTAATTATGAGGCACTGACTATGCATTTCCTAGTCAGGACTGAGTAGACAGGAGAGCCCTCAGGCACAAGTGCGGAGTCCAGGAATTGGTAATAGGTGGGACCTGTGGCCCAGGGATGAGGGTGGGATGCTGAGAGCAGTAACAGCAGTACCCTTCCTCCTTCCCTGGGGGTTGAAGATGGTGTACAAGAACACATGAAATTCCACGAATTAGGTAAAGGCGAAGAGAAAACAAAGGATTAGAAGAAAAATAAGTCTTCCTGGCAAGGTGATGACTATCCTAGTAGACCCAGAAAATAGATGCCATTTCTCAGCCTATCCTTTTTCAAATGTTTTCTATTCAAAAACACTTATTGAAAGTGCAAAATGAAGTTGCTTACTCATGCCAAGAAGGAAGATCACTGCCTGGGCAAAGTCTTGTTAACATGTCAAAGGGAAGAGGCTTTAAAGTTTGGGGGGTCTAGTTAAAAGTGGGTCTATCTGTACAGAAGCATGATTAGAATTGGGTAAGGATCACAGCATAACCCTGAAAGGTTGATGGACACAGGAAAGCAAGGGTTTTGTTTTATTTTGTTTTGTACCAGGGATTGAACTTTAGGGGCACTCAACCACTGAGCCACATCCCCAGCCCTATTTTGTATGTTTTTTTTATTTAGAGGCAGGGTCGTACTGAGTTGCTCACTTTTGCTGAGGCTGTCTTTAAACTCTCAATCCTCCTGTGTTTGCCTGCCGAGCCGCTGAGATTATTTATGGGAGTGCACCACCATGCTCAGCAAAGCAAGGGTTTTTAGGGAAGGTGTCAAAGAGTGTTGGAAAGGAAATAGTTGTTTGATGTTAATTATTGAAAAGTTAAACAGTCATGAGTTCATTCAAAGGGTTTTGAGGGGAAGTTCCTGTAGCGAGACACGTGTTTTCTGGAACAGTGATGTGCAAGTGAAAACAGTTTCTATTCTCACCTTCAACATAATCCTAACACCCATGAAATATAATTTAGTGAAAACGGTTTCTAGAAGTAACACTATGCAGTCCTCCAACAGAGCTCTGTATTTCTGCTGAATAGGGGAAACACCCACATTCTCCATCACTGTGAAGGAGCAGGATTGGAGGGTGAAGTCCCAGAAAGGCAAGGCATGACAGCTTCGTGACTGTCATCAAGCCATGTCATCCTGGAGCCTTGGGCCTCTAGCACCAGCTGAGGGGGACCCCTGCAGTGAGGTTGCCTAAATGACTCCTCTGTGGGCAATGTGCCTCTGGAGTAGATCTGGACCTTGCTGTCTGCCGCTCTGGGCAAAAGGAAGTCATGGCAAGTCTGTCCTCTTGCCTGCCCCATCACCCACTCTGCTTCTTCTCCCCGGCTCACCCTGGCATGTGGCTGGTGACCTAGTCTCTGACTAGGGAATCCCTTGAGTGCTGTGCTTAAGGACAGCTGGAGCTTGAGTGGGAACAGTTCTGTAACCATTGCCTGATAGAATCATAAGAATTTCAGGGGATCACAACAGTCTCTTCTCCAGGGCCAACTGATGGCCAGGCAGGGCACCATGGAGCCTCTGACTCATCAACACTGTCTTCCCCTCACTGGAGTCTCGCGGCAACCTGGTAGGCAGGTAGGCTGGGAGGGCTGAGTGGTTCTCCCAACTCCCAGACGAAGAACCAGAGGCTCCAAGTCATGTCAGCTGGAAGCGGAGGGAAAGCCCTGGGATGGACAGCTGTGTCTTCTCATAGTCCTGGGCTCTTTTCTGGAGCGAGAATCTTCCCTGTGCAGTCATCCCTGAAATAATTGAGACAAAATCATTGTATCTGGCTATGGCTTCACCAACATGCTCAAACCCTAGAAACCTCTCGTTTTAATTGGAAATGTGTCTCATTTGGTTGAGATACACATGACCTTTTTGTTCAAATATTTAAAAGCATGGATGATTATTTTTTTTCCATTTTAAACCAGTAATTCTCATTAAAAAAATCTTCTTTGTGGATTTATGGATTTTTGTGTTTCAGAAGGAAAGCCTTCCATCCATTCATGGGGGAAGGTAACTTCATCTTAAACAAATGAACGGTCTTGGGGGAAGTCTGTGTCAAGGTCATGGTGGTGCAGTGTTTCTAAGGGAGGATGGTCCTTCTTCCTCCCCAGGAAGGTAGACAAGTCCTGTGTTTCCAAGGTTTGAGGTTCTGCCTTAATAGGCCATCGCCATATTTCAAATAAGCTATTGGGCCTCACTGTGTAAGAGCCTTGTTGTATAAAGAAAGAAGCAGAATGACAGCTTTTGTGTGAAAGAGCTGACGAGGGCGGTACTCCAGAGAAAAGGGACCAAGACAGAATGTCTCAGGTGCCTAAGAGTCCACCGCTGAAGGTGATCTCATAGTGGGTTCTGCTGGCCTCAAAGTGTCCTTATAGCAAGGCTAGAAGAGGGAGAACTGTGGGAAAACATTCTGATGTCCAAGGGTGGTGCTGAACCAAACACTTTCCCCTGTCCTTGTCCCTACCTCTGCCCCTGTCCCAAGGCAACCTAGCCTGCTAGTGCATCCTATTGAGGGTGAGAACTCCCAGCTCCAGTGTCCTTGTTCCTTACCCCACCTCAGCACCCCTGGTGACTCATAAAGGCCAGCAAACTGGGCCTGTATGGGTGTATGGAATCCCATTTCCAAATCTGAAGGCCTGACAACCATTTGTGCACCCTGAGTCAGAAGCTAAGGGACCAGATATCAATGAGGCAAAATATAGGGAAGTTGGAAGAATGCCCGCAGGCATCTTTCCTCCCAGAGCACAGTTAAGAGAGCTGGGTCCTAGTCTCCCAGAGCCCTTCTCCACAGCCCTCCATGAAGAGACAGTGGGATGGACTCTAGCTCTCCCCCCAAGACAGGCTGCAGCACCCTCGCAAATACGGCTTTCCCCAAAAGATTCCACCTCAGACAATGATGAGCCTTGCCACTCAGCAACCAGAGACAGGGACTTTACTGCCTTTCTTGTTCCCTAAGTCAGTAGCATCTTGCAGTGCCTGAAACTAGTTCCAGCCATCTGGATTTTTTAAATCCAGGTCCCTGCATGTACCTGGGGCTAAGGGTAAGTCCTGGTGGCAGCAGAACATCTGAGAGGGGAAAGGACATTATTGCTGGGGAACCAAGCACTGGAGTTTCTCACCTCTGGGGGTGAGTGCAGAGTGCATGTCCTCCAGTAACCCCTGCTTGGGCCCTAAATGGGACTAAATGACTTTTGTTTGACTATCTGGACATGACCAACATCCAGTAGTCTCTTAGTTACTGGTTTTCATAGTTTTCAGTACACCGGATGTCCTTCCACTCCTGTGAGGCAAGGTGGTGGAATGGGGGTGAATCTTGGCTGGGATATTGTGAGGATCACATGCATTTTTGTTACAGTAAATTTAATTCTATAACATATAAGACACAAATAGGAAAATAATAGCTCCCCTGTGTTGTCTGTGATATAACCCCAGGACCCGTGAATAAGTTTGGTTGTATGGAAAAGGGAAACAAAGATTACAGATGAAATCAAGGTTGCTAACCAATTAACTCCAGATTGGGAGAAGGATCCAGATGTAGCTCAGTTGTAGAGCACTTGCCTAGCATGCATGAGGCCCTGGGTTCCATCCTCAGCAACACACACACACACACACACACACACACACACACACCGACACACACACCACAAGATTACCCTAGATTATGCAGGTGAGCCCAAGGGATTACAAGGGTCCTTAAAAGTGAAAGAGGAAGACAGAAGAGGAAGTCAAAGTGATATAGTAAGAAGGACTCAACTTGCCATTCAGCATTTTTAATGAAGGAAAAGGTCACATCTTTTCAGTGAGCAGTTTCTAGAATCTAAAAGAGCTTAGAAATATATTCACCACCAGAAACTCTAGACAGGAGTTATTATGGTTTGGATATGAGGTGTCCCACAAAAGCTCCAGTTAATGCAGGAGGCGAAAGGATTACATCATGAGAGCTGCAGCCTAATCTGTCCACTCTCATTTGAATGGACTGACTGGATGGTAACTCTAGGCAGGTGGGGTATGGCTGGAGGAGGTGAGTCACTGGGACATGCCCTACAAAGTGTGCATCTTCCCTGTGGCCCCTTCCCTCCTCCTTCCCTGTCTGTCTGGTTCCTGAGCAGTTTTCCTCTGCAGGGCCCTTCCCTCATGATGTGCTGCCTCACCCTGGGCCCAGAGTTGGAGTACACCATGTACAAGCCTGTGAAACCTTGAGCCCCAAATAAACTTTCCCTTCTTTAAGTTGTTTTTGTTGGGTATTTTCATCACAGAGATGCAAAACCTGACTAAAATAGGAGTATAGCCTGCCTGACACCTTGATCTTAGCCTAGTGAGACCCACGTTGGGTTTCTAGAAAATAAAATCATGTTACTTTATTCCACTGACTTTGTGATAATTTGTTATAGCAGCAACAAGAAACTAATATACCATATATCAACAAATCTTTGAGTAACAGCTCCACAGGCATGGAAAAAAGTTTCAGAGTTTACATATTTTTGCTCTAAACAAGGCAACCACTCTTATTCTACTTTCTAGATTTCTCCAGCTTTTGTGTTAGAAGAAGAAAATGCTTTAAAAAAAAAAAGTCCCCCCCCTTTGAAAAAAGCAACTTGAGGAATCTCAACCAGGTGGGAATGAGTGTGATGTTTTATTTTCTGGCAGTTCTTGTTAATTAGTTCATTCTGTAACAATGCCTTAACAGTTTCCCATAACTTACCCATCATATGCAGTGTCCAATCTAGTCTGGCTCAAAACTCCAAACTCATATCCAGTTTAAGTCCCCCATCCTCCCTCTCCCTGGGAAAATCAGATTCCAGCTAGGAACTTGAAGTGGGTGAGTGTATGGTCTGCCTGCTCTCTCTCTCTCTCTCTGGGGCAAGTGGCTCTAGGTTGAGGCTTGGGAGCAGAGACGATGTTACCCTGACTCAGTTGGGATCTGTATAGTACCAAAATGTTTGCCAGTGTGGTGGCCTCATCATAGAGAGTCAGCAAGGTCTTCTTTGGGTTGTATCCAGCCACACTCTGTCCTTAGCTCCCCTTACTGCAGCATCTCCTCAACACCTTATGCATGGCTCACAGGGCCCAAAGAAGTGCTGCTTGTGCCCTTAAGTCTTACAGGTATTTGGGGTTTTATTTATTTAACAAAGAACACTTATACTGTTCCCAGTCATTCCCAAACATTAACTCCTTGGACTTCATAGCAGCACCTTCAGGTCAGAAACAGTATGGTGGTGGCAGAAAGACAATAGAGAGGGAATTACCCAAAGTCTCTCAGTTCATGAACTGTGGAACAAAGAAGCTGGGATACACACACACACACACACACACACACACACACACACACACACACACACACAGTGGAATGTATTACAATTCTTATTACACATATAGAGCACAATTTTTATATCTCTGGTTGTATACACAGTATATTCACACCAATTTGTGTCTTCATACATGTATTTTGGATAATAATGTCCATCACATTCCACCATCATTAATTACCCCATGCCCCCTTCCTTCCCCTCCCACCCCCTGCCCTTTCTAGAGTTCATTTATTCCTCCCATGCTCCCTCTTCCTATCCCACTATGAATCAGCCTCCTTATATCAAAGAAAACATTCGGCATTTGGCTTTTGGGGATTGGATAACTCCACTTAGCATTATCTTCTCTAACTCCATCCATTTACCTGCAAATGCCATGATTTTATTCTCTTTTATTGCAAAGCTTGGATTTTTAAGGAACAATTTGTTTTATATGTTTTGTTTTGTTCTGTTTTACTGGTAGGCTTTTTTTCCCCCTGTGACCTAGATAATATGTGCTGAGGACAGATTCAACACAGATGAAGACAGAAACTTCCTTGCCTCCTTCCTTGCCACTTTGCTCCTGGCTTGAACCACTGTGCCTGGCTTTCTTTCCAAAACAAATTCTCTCCCAGAAGTCTCCTCACCACTTAAAATCATCCATCATCAGACAAACTTACCAGCTCATCAAGGGCCCAATCCCCCCACAGTGTGGGAAAGCTGCAGAAGGGACAGAGGGAGATGTTGTCCCTGTAATCTGAGACAATGCTTAGAGTTTACCTTTGATTTCTTTCTTCTTAGGCAAGATTGTTGGGGAATGACTATTGTTTCCTAGCCAGCTGCGGCTCCCTTCTCAACCCCGGGGTTATGTTTACCTGAAGGAGAAAAACAAGATGGTGCAGAAAGCCAGGGCTGGAAAACACTATCCAGGATCTCTGAGTTGATGGAGACCAGTCTCCAAAAGCTCCCACATCTCCCTGATCAGAATGCTGGGGTCTAACCATAGAAGGAGCACTTTGCCAAAGAGAGAAATTTTTACCTTTCTTTCTTCTCTCTGCTCTCTACTGAGGAAAAAGCCCAGGTATGATGCAGTTAAGAACTGAGGAAATTCAGAAGACACATGGGAACATCAACCTAATCTTATCAGGAGGATGATGGAGGCTGGCCCTCAAGGTTTCCTTCATAGCAGTCGGTACCTGGGGATAGGGTGGAGCTGCCAGCTCAGTCCTAGGCCCCTGTCCAGCTCCCAAGCCAGCAGTGACAAGGGCCATCACAGACTCCACAAACAGGAAGGTGGCTGACCAAGCACCAAACTATTCAGACAACCACTGGCACAGGGCAAAGGCAGCCTCCTCTGTCTTGCCCTGCTCTCCCTCGAGGGTTTGGGCTGATTTCTTCCAATGCTAACAAACAGCTCATAAGTACTACAAAGTCCTTGCCACCTGCAGGCCAGACAGAATTACTTC